AAGGGGCTACCGGATAGTTGGACAGAAACAATAATAGAAATTTTTAATGAACTATGGGACACGGGCGAAATTTTAAAAGGTTGGGAGATAGCGAGAATATATCCGATATTCAAAAATGGAAACGAGGAAGAGACTAAAAACTGCAGAGGGGTGTCACTTCTTGACGTGAGCTACAAAATATTAGCAAAAATAATGGCAGGAAGTATTAGGGAGTGGGCAGAGAGTAAAAATATATATAGGGAAAGCCAAGCAGGATTCAGAGGGAAAAGGGGGACGAGAGAGCATATCTTTGTAATGAACTCGATTATAGGCAATAAGCTAAAGCAGAAGGGGGGAAATTATATCTAGGTTTTATAGATTTCTAAACCGCGTTCGACAGAATAAACAGAGCAAAAATGATAGAAAAAATACAAAAGAAGGGGGTAAGAGGAAAAATGCTGCAGATGATAAAAAAGATATACAAAAATACTTTGAATGAGGTAATAGCTAAAGAGGGACTATCAGAGCGCTTCGAGACGTCCCAAGGGGTTAGGTAGGGATGCCCCCTGAGCCCTAGCTTATTTTGTTTATTTATCGACGATATAGATAATATCTGGGAAGAGAAAAAAGTAGGAGGAACGGTAGTGGGGGGGAAAAATTCTACTGTTTAAAGTTCGCGGACGACATAGTGATATTGGCAGATAACGACGAGGGGCTGAGGGAAATGTTGAGGAAAACGGAGATTTTTAGCGACGAGATAGGGATGGAAGTTAACACAGAGAAAACCAAGTTGATGATTTGCAGTGATGAAAGATTAGGTAGGGAGAGGGAATTTACTTACAAGGGCAAAAAAGTGGAGGTAGTTAAAGAATTTAAATATCTGGGGTACTGGTTTACGCAGAAAAACGGGAATTCAACACATATAAACGAAATAACAGGGAAAGTAACCAGAGCAATCAACGCGACATGGGGAATCGTAAAAAGAGCAAAAATTGAAAACCTAAAAAAAAGGCTTTATCTTTTTGACAGCTTAATAAAAGCGGAGTGTTTATATAGGGTAGAGATCTGGGGGTGGCAAAAATGGGAAAATCTTGAGAGGGTACAGAGGAAATTTTTAAAAATGGCTATGGGATTAAATAGTAACACACCAAATTATATTGGAGCCATGGAAGCAGGAAGAACGTCGATGGAATTACAGACTGCAAGGAGAGCAATGGGATACTTGGCAGAGATAGTATAAATGGAGGAAGGAAGATGGACAAAAATATGTCTGAGAGAGGAAGTGAGAGGCATACTAAACAAAAATCCGACGAAGTGGGGAAGGAGAGTACAGAGGTGTTTAGAAGGAGTAGGGAATGGGGAAATTTTAAAAATGATATGGGACAAAAGAGAGACAGAAGAAGTAAAAGGTAAAATAGAGAGGGGACTGGAAAGAAAAGTAGAGCAGGAACTTCAAAGCTTGTGGGGTAAAATAGATGGGTGAAAATACAACGGGCTTTACAGAAAATTAAAAGAGACGGTGGGAGAAGAGGCGTATTGGGAAGAGAGCAAGGTTCCAGGGGGGGGTAAAAGAGCAATAGGCGAGAATAAGGTGTGGGAATGTGGGCAGAGAGCAGGCGAAAGGGTATAAAGATAGTAAGTGTAGAATCTGCGGAGAAAAGGAAGAAAACCTAGAGCATATGATTGAATGTAGTAAGGCAAAAGAGGAAATAGGGGGAAGGTGGGTGAGGGAGTTAGAAAATCAAAAAATTACTGGCAGGAGAGAAGAGAAAGAGAATAAACTAATTAGAACCTTAAAGGGAAGCCCGAATAGAGCAAGATGCAACTATATTTACATGTTCGAGAAGTTGGCTAAATCGAGGGGTGATGAGGGGTATCCTGAGTAAGAGTAGAAGCGAGCTTTTGAAAGGGAGGGTAGGAGAGAGGGAAAGTATGCGAGCGCGAATCTTGAGATTATAACAATAACACTATATTATTATAGAAGTAGCAGACGTAGTGTTTAAGTGTTAGTTGTAAGTATAGATGTAAAAGTGGAACATTATGTAAAAGGCCGTGAAGGCTGTACATTGAGCAATAAAAAAAAATTATTATTACCAAAGCTCAGTCCTTTATATAAAGTTTTAGGCTTTTTAATTTACAAAATATTTTTTAAGAAAGTTGAAATTTTAATCTTTAAAAACAGAAAAAAAAGCGTTACACAACAAGAAAAATACAAAGTTAATAGTTTCTATTCTCTATTCGAAAAATTAAAGTATCATATTTAAAAATAGCTAATGAATTAAAATTATAAAATAGCCAGTATTTTATTAGGTCAACAAAGAGCCACAAAGTATTCATGTTTCCTTTGTAAGTTATACTTAAAATCAACATTAGATAGAAAAGGTTTGTTAAGAGTCTGTCAGGCAAGCTTATTCCAAGATTTATAAACATTGTTAAATTATCTTATTTCTAGTCATTGTGTCACCTTTATTAAATATTAAATTCAACTTTTTAAAACAGCTACTCAAGCAATAAAACCATTAGAAAGTAATGTTTTAATGTATGTATGAGATAAGTTATGCGATATTGTTAAATAAAAAATCAATTGAAGTTTATTGAAGGTTCTCAAAAAAAGAAAACCGATAAAGAATGATAAATTGGAAATGATTATGCTAAATAAGGTAATAGGTTATAATTGTTACGAAGAAATTAATACAAAAATTAGTGAGTTAATAAAGATCTTATTTTTAATGCATTTAACGATTTATTTCCTGCATTAACATATTAATTTTCTGAAAATCTGAATTAGAGGTAAGATAAGAGATAATACTAAAACTTTAGAGACTTTAAAAAAAAACATAGAGGAGTCTGGTATGTGAACAAATCAGACTATTGTCTTTAAAAAGAGGCATATGAAATACATGCAAAAAAGGAAATAGATAGTAGATGGATGTTTACGTAGATATTTTATGAATAAATGAACATGTTACAACTGAATTTGGAATTCGTATTCTGATCAATAGTTCAATTATAAAAATTAATAATCATGAACAACGTGTACTCTTGTTTGCAAAAGATCTAGAAAGAGATCTTATTTTATGTACATTTGATGTATATTTTTTTAAGAACCAGCAATTGTCTGATATCATGTTTACATCCCAAACACCGTGATATCTTTTTTCCAACTCTTTCAAATCTTGGTGAAATTTTTCACCTTGTTCCTCACTGAAATCCCCCAGATATTTTAGGAAATAATTTTGGGAGTTTTACAATTGATTGCCGACAATATTTTTATCATTTCAAATACTACATGTTTCAACCGTTTCCTTTTCGCTACCTAATTTTTTCAATTAAAATTTTAGAGGAAATATCGTTCTTTGAAATAGAAAAAAAGCTTAGATTTCTTGGGGTTTGGCTTTGGGGTTAGCCTGCCGTGTGTGTAAGGAATCTAGGGTTCTTGAGGTTTGAATTGGACGTTAACCTGTCGGAGTGTAAAGAGATCATATTATTTGTGACTTTGAATGTTCGCAACTCTTGTTTCATGCATATTTTACGTTATTGGATAACTCAGTAATTGAAGTTCGTGATGTGACGCAAAAGACATTTTGAATTTGTTGACTGTTTAAGGTTGTAAGTGTTGCCTGTGTAGATTACATTATTAACTGGAATTTTTAGATCATATGAGCCGCTTATTTTGAAAGTGGCCTAACTCCATTCATCTTCAAATCAAGATATTAAAAGTTTTGCGTTAGAATGAATTTAAAAATATACGTTCAATTAATTCGGAAAACTTATGTGTAAAAAATGTATCGTATTTTCTCTGAATATAAGCAATCTGAAGTGCGTCACTGATAAATAACATGAAGTTGTACATGTAACCATTGTAAGCAGCAGAAAATTGAAAAACGGAGTTAGGTCACTTTCAAAATAAACGGCTCATATATGAATTATTAATCTATTTTTGCACACCCCAGATCATTTTTTATGTACTTTATACTACCATTGGAAACTCCTATTTTTTTTTATTTCAAAGAACGATATCTCCACTTCAAAAATTTTAATTGAAAAAATTAGGTAGTGCTTTTTTAAGCAGACCACTTGCCCTTTCGGATATTATTTTCAGTTTTTGACTAAAATGGAAATTACCGATGTAAGGAACGTTCAAAAACGAAAAAAAAAATAGTCTCTTTTGCACTTTTAGGTTATGATATGATGTTTATTAAAAAATAATAAACGGTTTCTATTACGGTTCTACTAGCAAAAGATTTTTAATTCAAGTAAAAATATAAATGACACTGAATCGTCGAACTGGCAAGGTACGGAGCTCTAGATATAAATCATTCAAGAGAACTTGTAAGACCTGACTTTTCAAGTGTATGCAAGGCCTTTAATAATCGATCATTTTTCGATATCTATAATTAAAGTAGTACATTGCTTGCTACATCGTTATTTGCTGAGTACAAGATTTTTTCTGCAGTACATTCGCTTGTAGTGAGAGTTCATACGAGTTCAATGATTTCCTGTGGACATATACAAAATTTTGATTTCTTAAGAGCTTGAATTTCGGAATCGTATGCGTGATGTTAAAAGATGCAACTACTCGTAAAAAAATACGATGTGAGACGTAACAGATATTTGGATATTACATAATACTTCATTGCATGAAAAAATGATTTTAGGTAAAACTCTTGTGACTCTTATTCATATCAGTTCATTTTTTTTACAAAATAATTAGTGAGAGGAGAGCGAGATATTTTAATACAATAAATTATTTTTTTATGATTCAAATTTTCATTACCTTATTCTTAAATTTATATATTGAAATTTCTCAAAAGTCGAAATACTTATCATGAAATAAAATGAACTAATTTTTAGTTGTAATAACTTTAATTTAGTTATAAGAATTAATTTAAATGGTATTTTTTCAATTTCTGAAAGTAATTGTTAAATTTGAATGACTAATTATTCTACAGATAAAATCTTTTCTATTCTATTATCGATTCAATATTTAATCATCATTTCATATTATTTATATTTTTCAGTTGCTTGATAAGTTAGAGAGTAAAATGAAAGGGACATGCGTGGAAGGCACTGTTCCAAAGCTCTTTGAAGGTAAAATGACGTCTTTTATAAAATGTAAAAATATCGATTACACATCAACAAGAATGGAAACATTTTATGATATACAACTGAACATAAAAGGGAAAAAAAATAGTAAGTATTAAAAATATCAGTTAATAATTCACTATTTAAGTTTCTCGAGAAAAATATTTAATTTTAGCTTATCTTTGATACTTTTTCATAATAATAAGGCAATGAAATATGCATCGGGAAAGTTGGGAATTCTTATTATTGCCCGGTAATCTATCTAGACAAAAATGAATACATTTTAATTATTTATTCCAATACAACTAGATTTTTAGATACTATTTACGGTGGACCGTCTGGAAATAAAGTCTAACTTGTATAGGAGATCTAAAATGAATACAATGATTATACCACCTATTCATAATTTTTATGAAACTTATGAAGTTCTAGTTTTGATTTTCCTTACCATTTTAATTTGTAATCAACGACGAAATTAATAAATTATTTTTAAGCGATTATTGCGGTTCTGAACAGAGGTTCTGTAAACAAAGAGGCGAGAAAGCATGATTTGAGAAGAAATACGAGGTGTGTTCAAAAAGTAAGGTGACTTTGTATTTTTAAGAAAAAATATTTATTTATTCATCAATATTTATGTTGTCTCCTTCAAAGTAATCCCCCTCAGATACAATACACTTATGCCAACGGTTTTTCTAATCCTCAAAGCACTTCTCATAAGCACTTTTCGGTATAGCCTTGAGCTTTTCCAGCGATGCAGTCTTTATCTCTTCAATCGTTGCAAATCTCTGTCCTTTCATAGGTCTCTTTAGTTTTGGGAACAAGAAAAAGTCACATGGGGCCAAATCCGGTGAATATGGTGGCTGAGGCATGATTGTGGTATTGCTTTTGGCCAAAAAATCTCTCACAAGCAAAGATGAGTGAGCAGGAGCATTATCGTGATGCAAAAGCCATGAATTGTTTTTGAAGTGTGGCAGATTTGCCAGCTACCCCGCCGGCCACATTAACGATGGAATTGCTTATCGGGCATTAATTCTAATAATTAGGCTTAAAAGGGAATTGGCAGGCTGACCAGCCACCGATTCACCTTCACACTCGCTATTTGTTGTTGTGCCGCTCGTAGTCTATCGGCGTGATATCGCCGTCTTGTAAACCTATTATTGACGAATAAAGGATTAGTGTGTTAATCCGCTGATGTGTTTATTCGCCGCTGTGTCACTTCTCATCCCGAATTCTGAAACGTGCGTTTAACGTGGTTTTGCTCGATACGTTATTCAGTCGCGGGAACGTCTATTGCTTACCGAATCTTCGAAATAAATAATTTGTGCGGATGACCGCGAGCTACCTAAGCGGGAACGGCCGATTCTCCGTTACATTGTAAATATTGCTTTGATATACTAGTAGTACGAGGTTACTTAGATTTTGTCTCGGCTAATGGTGCATATTATATTTTTTTTTCTTTTGTAATCATTCGTATTTATGTATCAACAGTTTAGTTTGCTGAGTGAATGCCTAATATTAAGATCATGCCACAGTGATTTCAAACCCGACTCTCTTCGTATCCCGAATTTTAGTTTACGTGCGATTGGTGCATACACCCGGTGCATTATTCAGTCATTAGAGCATTTACATCTCTCGAATTCGCCCTTTTAACACTAAACCTACAGACATATTACACATACCTATTTCTACCGAGTCGCAGTCAAATCACCGCTTTTGAAATAAACAATTACAGTCTTTTCTAGTTGATTGTAATTAATACAGACTTTAGCATAAACAACAAACACAAAATAATTATTATATAATAATTAAAAACATTTATTTTTCGGATTTTAGGAGCAGTTATTTGACCACTCTGGTAGGTTTAGTGTTGAATAATTTATGCTGACAGCCGCGAACATTCTGATTGGTGTCGGCCGAATTACTCCGATACGCAGTAATGTTATGAATAATATTGAAAGAACACCAAATAAACTTATGAAAATTTTGCTAAATAATTGTAATAATATATAACTTTCTCTTTCTATGAAAGAATACTTTCTTCGGAAGTAATTAAGTATTTTATCAGTCTAACAAATGAATTCATAAGTTCAAAAAATATTACTAGAGATAAGTTAGTTAGGCTGAAAATTAACAAGACCTTTACACTTCGAATTCATCGATACTTTGCTACCAAAGTACGAGGGGAGTCAATTAGTCTTTACAAAAAGAAGGAATAAAAAGTTTTGCGTATGTAATTTTTTTTTATTTTTCAACATAATCTCCTTAAAGGTCGATAAATTTTATTAAACGGCCTTCCAGTTTTTTTAAGCAATCAGAAAAATATGATTTCTGAAAACCCTCAAAATAGGCATTTGTTTCGGCGATGACTTCTTCATTCGCCGTGAATCGTTGTCCGGCAAGCCATTTTTGAGGTTAAGAAATAAGAAAAAGTCACTGGGAACCAGATCAGGCGAATATGGTGGATGGTCAATTAATTCGAACTTTAAATCGTTAATTTTTGCCATCGAAACTGCAAACGTGTGAACTCGAGCATCGTCTTGAAGAAAGAGGCATTTTTTTGTTCAAGTGACGACGTTTTTCTCTGATTTTTACTTTCAGCTAAACTAATAATGACGCATAATATTGTCCACTGATTGTCTGGCCCTTTTCCAAGTAGTCGATATAGATGATTCCATACACATCACAGAAAACCGTGGCCATAATCTTGCCAGCTGACTTTACTGTCTTTGCCTTCTTTGGGGCTGGTTCTCCTGCGGTAATTCATTGTTTGGACTGTTCTTTGGTTACAGGAGTGTAGTGGCGTACCCATGTTTCGTCTACATTTATGAGTCGACGCTAAAAGTCTTCCGGATTACGATGTATGCGTGCCAAAAGAGCCTCAGAGGTGACCACGCGGGTTCGTTTGTTTTCAATAGTGAGCAAATGCGGTACCCATCTTGCTCATATTTTTTTCATCCCTAATTTTTCATGCAAAATTGAAATGATTGTACCCTTTGATATCCCTGTGGCCTCAACTGATTCTTACAATTTTAATCTTCTATCACTCAACATCATATCGTGGATTTTGTTGACCATTTCGGGCGTACTCACTTCTATGGGGCGTCCTGAACGAGGTTCATCTTTTGTTGTTATACGGTCGCGTTTAAATTTATTTACCCAGTTATAAACAGTCTTAAACACAGGGTCAGACTTGCCATGAACGGCGTTGAACTCAACTGTGATTTCTTTTGGTGTAAGGCCTTTCAAATGAAAATGTTTTATCACCGCTCGAAATTCTGTGTTTTCCATTTTTCAAATAAACCAATAACTTTTTGTTCAACCAACGCTCACAAAAAAACGTCTTAATGAATCGAGCTGAAACTTTGTATGATATTTAGTTAGTAGTATTGCTTGCCAAAAACATCATAATTTAAGCATGACAAGCGCCATCTCTTGGATTTTGTAATACTTATTGACCTCCCCTCGTATGTAAAAAATTTGACAGAGGAATGAGGTATCTCAGTATTATAAATAGCAACAATTTCAAATTTAGAGAATAGATTCCAAATAAAACCAAATTACTAATAGATATGATCAGCAGATAATTTAGTATTGCCATCCAAGAAATGAACTTAAGTGGAGGCTGTTAACTATTACGTCTTATGTCACTATTTTCATCATTACTCACTTCCACGAGGTCTGTCCGGAAAGTATCGGGCCTACGTTTATATCTTCGCGCCATAGTGTTCGAGTGACCTCTAGCGAACAGAAAGGTCAACAGTAAAGCCTCATGAATCTTTTGGTTACTTACTGACACCTGCCGGACGTATAGTTCATGTGCCGCGTGTCTGTGTTTACAGTACCTTTTTCGCGTTCGTCGGATTTTGATATTGTCAAAAATGATTGAACAATAAGATCAACGAATTTGCATCAAATTTTGCTTTCAACTTGGAAAAACGAGTTCGGAAACTATTGAAATGATGCAACAGGCCTTCGGAAGCGAGTGTATGAGCAAAACACGAATAAAAGAGTGGTATAAACGGTTCAAGGATGGTCGCACTTCTGACGATAGTGATTCTCGTTCTGGCCGACCTTCGACGATAAAAATCGCAGATAATATTGAGCGGGTGCGACTTGCAATCGAACAAGATCGTCGTATGACTGTGCAAGAACTAGAAGAAGACCTTGGGATAGCAAAAACTATCATTTCAGAAATTTCAACTGAAAATTTAGGAATGAAACGCGTGTGTGCCAAATTCATCTTAAAATTGCTCACAGCAGAGCAGAAGAACATTCGCTTAGAAATCGCTTTGGACAATCTTGAAATGGTCAATAACGATGATAATGTACTTAGCAAAGTTATTACAGGTGATGAATCATGGGTTTTTGGTTATGATCCTGAAACAAAACAACAATCTTCACAGTGGAAGCATTCTGAATCGCCAAGACCAAAAAAAGCACGTCAAAGTCTGAGCAATGTTAAGTCAATGTTTGTTTTTTTCGATTGTGAAGATGTTGTACATCACGAATATGCACCAACAGGTCAGACAATTAATAAAGAATACTACGTTCAAATTTTGAAACGTTTGCGTGACGTAGTAAGCAGAAAACGGCCGCACTTTTGGGAAAGTGCTGACTGGCTTCTCCATCACGATAATGTGCCAGCGCATTCATCCAATCTTGTGCAGCAATTTTTGAGCAAACACAATATCGCATTGCTTCGACAACCTCCATACAGTCCCGACATAGCCCCTTGTGACTTTTGGCTGTGTCCAAAACTAAAAAAACCACTCAAAGGACACCGATTCAATGACAAAACAACGGTTGAAAACAATGCGACGAGTGTACTTAAGGCTATCCCTAAAAGTGAGTTCCTGGACTGTTTTGAAAAGTGGAAACATCGATGGAATCGTGTTATTCAATCAAGTGAGTATTACTTTGTAGGATGCCACCCACCAGATGATAAAGAATAACGCTAGCACGAAAATATAAAGGTAGGCCCGATACTTTCCGGACAGACCTCGTATTAGTTCTAGCTTAAAATTCTAAGTTTCATATATTTTGTTGTACCAGCTTTATAACGGTCTAATAGTATTTCGAGGGACCTACATTTTATCTCTTACCTCATC